GGACTACAGCATCCGAAGAAGTGGGCTGTAGTCCACGAAAGCTTATGCTCTAATAAATTTGTTAGTCTCTAAGGTGCCACAAGTCCTCCTGTTCTTCTTTCTGTTAAACATGAGCCCTAAAGACTCCACCACCAGAAAACAAATAAAAGGAACCTAAAAATTATGATTGTTGGGCCATTTTTATGATATTGGAACAATTGGGGTTGGCAATACCGGTCTCTATACAGCTCTGGCTACACGTGCCTGTGCGTGCACATGCCCTCCCACGGCTGCCCCTTAGAAGAGTCTGGATTTCGCGCGTGGGCTGTGCGAGGCCGGGCGTTACACGGTGCGGTCCCTGCAGGCCCCGCCCCCTGGGTTACGCACGGAGAGCCCGGCCTGGCCTTTGGTGAGTTTATCTTGTTGCTAATGGCAACAATCCTGAGCAATGTGAACTCGGCGCTCGACTACCGAGTCTGGGTCCAACACCCTGGCGCGGGTTTGTTTCTCGCTCTAAGAGCTCCATCTCGTTCTCGGCTTTAGATTAATCGTGCCCACCCAGCGCGCCGTGAGTGTTGTTGGAGGCAAAATGGCGGCGGTGGTGGCCGGGGCCGCCCTGCTGGGCAAGGGGCTGGACATCAGCCTGGCGGCGCTGCAGCGGCACGACCCCTACATCAGCAGCATCGTGGACGTGGCCAGCCAGGTGGCGCTCTACACCTTTGGGCACCGCGCCAACGAGTGGGTGCGTGAGATGAGATCCCCCCCGGGCCGGGAGCCCCCCAAAGCGGGGGGTAGGGCAGGCAGCGGGGAGACCCCCCCCCCACACACACACAGGAGGGGGGAGGGAGCTGGGAGACCCCCTCCCCCACACATATACCAGTTTGAGGAGGGCAGGCAGTGGGGAGACACCCCCCGACGTGGGAAGGGCACGAAGCGGGAAGACACCCCACACAGACACACGTGGGCAGTGAGGGAGCTGGGAGGGATGGTGGCTGAAAGTCTTGGGGCTGTATTTCTCTTCTTTAATTTATCAAATTTAATATGCTCAGTTATAAAGGCCCAGGGCCATTGTGAAACCCGAAAGGGGAAAAGAACAGTTTCCGGTTCTCTCCCGCACTACTCTGAAACTAAACACCAGACAAAAGCTGGTGAGAAGATAGTTGGGAGAAAGAAGAGGTGGCCGTCCCTCCCCCATGCTGGCTTGATGAACTTTAAATTCATAGGGGTGTCTATTAAACAATGTGTGCTAAAGCAGGTAACAAGTCCTTGCCCTGAAGAGCATATAGTCTATATGTATATAGTATGAATACAATGCAGTGCTCTATGGAAAGTGTATTGTGGCTGGAACGCTCTGTGGAGTGGTGTGTGCGTATATGATTTTTGGAAGCACAGCATATAATTCCAGATTTACCAGTAATGTAGTACCAATGCTCAAGAAGCAGCAAATGTAACAAATCTTCATGATAAGAATACTGTTTATAGACGCCCTGATCTAGTTAAGGATTTAAGTATGTGATTAACATGCTGAAGTCCGTGGGACTTCTTATGCAATTAAAGTTAAGTACATGCTTAAGATCTTGTCTGCATGTGAGGTAGTGTACTGTATGGGTGTGTTAAATTCTTTGCTCCTAATTAAAGTCTAAGAATCCCATTTTGCTTGTTTGAAATCCGACAGCCATCTCTGGTACCTTTTTTTTTGCTGGAGTCAACAGGGACTAGAACATTACTATACTTGCATATTGAAGATACATCTTGTGTGAGTTCTAAAGCTCACTAATGTGTTGAGTTATTTCTTGGTCCATGTAGACCCTGTGGTGTGCATCAAAGATTCCCTAGTGTGCTTTGACATAGTGCTGTTTCTGCAGTGCTGTGTTAAAGCACACCAGCAGGATCTGCATAGAATAAGTAATGCACAACACGTTAGTGGGCTTTAGAACTCAGACCCCCTTAAAGCACATTAGTTACAGCATAGAGAAGCCTTAAGTTATTTCCTAGATCAGGGCCACACCGAGGAACCATACACATTGAACTAACTTCCTTTCTCTCCTAAGTCTATTCCAGTTTATAGCACAGTCTTGGATTCATTTGATAGCAAATACAATATAGTTTCAATTGTTATCCTTTCATTTTCATGTGCTAAAACTTCATAAAATTCTCCATTTGTTTAAAATTTTCCACAATTGGTCTCTGCCCAAAGGTTATTAATTTGGGGGAAATTGACAGAAATCTTGTCAGCTGTTTTTGAAAGTTATATACAATGAAAAAATACAGCCTAGCCTCTGTGTATTTAAAAAACAAACAAACAGCCAGATTTGTTTTTCGAGAAGAAATTCAAATATGGCTGAACTTTGAAACTTGGCATCAACCTAATCTTTGGTGAGAAGTATGTCCATGATAAAATTTAAAAAAAGTAGTTGGAAATGTCAATATTTAATCTAAAAATTCTGAACATTTGAAAATTGAACTGTGGACATGCCTAATACAAAATGAGCACTCATAGAGAGATGGACCATTAATGAAGGTTTTTCTTCCTTAGAAAAGCACTCATTTCAATGCACTTTAATAGCTACTGATTGGTGCCTCCTAGTTAACCTGGTGCACACTCTGTTGAATAACTGAGCTGGTGTATGTCATTGACAAGCTGAAATGAACAAGCTTTCTCTGCATTTCTTTTCTTTCTCCTTCCCTTCCTCTGTCTTTTGTCTGTTGTCTTCATTTGCATATTAAGGACTTTTAGCCAGAAGGAAGCAGATACTATCTAAATCATGTAAGAAAGAGAAAATTAAATAAATAGTTAATGCAGCATTAAGGTTATCCAGTCAGAAATGATAAAAAGACAGTAAATGCAAAAGTTAAAAGATTTCCAGAAAAACAGCTGCATTGCACATATGTAGTATTTTGTAGTCCTGCTTTTCTTTAAATTCTGTTGCTTAAAATATTATACACACATAAAACATATAAGATATATAACTGGGAGTCTTAACTTCTGCATTTCCTGTCTTTTTGTTATTTTAATTGTGTAACCTTAACATTATACGCTGTAGAGCTTTGTGTCTAAACTCTGATCCCTTGATCTCCTCTGTTCAAGTATGCCTGTACAGGCTTTTGTTGTCTTCAGTGGCACTCTGCATTGGTGATTGCCTGGGCAGACCCCGATAACAATTAGATTATAGGACTGGAATCTTATTTAAATAGACAATTTTGAGTAAGTCACCCCTCACTGAGTTACAGGCAAAAAATAAATATTGAAAAGTATATCAGTATATTTAAAAAAAATATAAGACATTAGTAATACAGATGATATTTAAAAAAAAAGATTTTCTTGAGTGTCCTGTTAATATTTTGTCAGACTGAATATGCGTGGGTCAGAGTGTGATAATGATTTCACCTAACCCCTGTGCATACAGCAAATAGAGCTGTGTATGAAAAACTTACTTAAAGTTTTTTTTCCCCAAATTGATTTTTAACTCTGCTGACTGGCTAATGCTGATGGGGTTAAACAGTGATCAAAATTGGTTTAGGGAAAGTATGTTTAAGCATGATTTTCAAATGTAACTCTATCTTTGTGTGGACAGAATTTTATGTAGTATTTTTCATCTAAAAGGATCCCAAAGAACGTGTCTCCAAAATGTTTGTTCCTGGACCAGAAAAGCTTACATATTTTAAGCAAGTGGGATATTATGTGTCAAATGGAATGCAGAAGCATAAATGTGCTGGCACTTTCTGACATCCAGTAGATCAGGTAGAGACACTGAAGTTTCTTTTTTTAAATGACAACTCATCAATTATCTTGGCTGACAGGATATCAGGAGAAAAAATTAGATAAGAAGACTGTGAGATTTTTTTGTCTTCAAAAAAAACAGAACTAAAAATAAAAAAATGCAGAGCTGATGGTTTTCATGTCTTATTGTAAAACCTGATTCAGCTGAAGGATGAAGGGGAACTATGGTGGTTGTAATCTCTTACTAGCAAATCCCTGAAATTTGGTTTAATTATTTCCTCAATGTAACTGTCATGGTCTTTGGGAAAAGGAAGATAGTGGTGGCTTATTTATGGTTGACAAAATAATAGTTCCTGTGCTTCCTATTGCTTCATCAGCAATGGACTATGAATATGGCAGTAAATCCACTTTTCTCCTCTTCATAAGGATAATCCCTTTTATTACTGCTGTCTTTGTTGTATTAATGATCCAATATGTTAAATTCACTGTACCACTGTGTGTCTTATGCCTGCTGGTGATACTAAGCGATTGTTTTGTGGAAAACATTGGTTTTCCTTCACCTTATGAATTTTCATTTGAATTACTTGAATGTTTCTTTTATTTTAGGAGAAAACTGATGTGGAAGGAACACTCTTTGTTTACACAAGGTGAGAATGTTACATTTTAATGTCTGAACATAAAATCTATGGAAGTAGAAAAGCCTGCTAAAAAGAATCCTTAAGTAACCACTCTAAATCCAGTCTTATTTCATGGTGAAAAGGAATAACTGAAGTTAGTTTGAAATTGTCAGAGACAATGCAGGGAAGGGACGATTGAAAAGGAGAACGTCACTTTGTATGTGTTCATGTGGATAAGGCATGGAAATGTAATTTAGACCTCAGTATGGATGAATCTGATAAATCTTGACAAAGTTCTATTTAAATAGGATGTAACATTTGTCTTTTAGAAGGTTTCAGAACAAAAAAGCTAAATGGCAGAGTAAATAATAGTGCTCATCAAGGTTAAGGAAATGGCAGGACTTAATACAATTGTAATTGTTTCCTGGATAGGGGAAAGTTCATGCATTTTTTCTTACATTTGCCTCAGTATCAAATTACTTACAATGTGGTTATCATGCATGTTTCACCCCAAGTGTTAAGATATTCTCAGTGGCTCTTTTTTCTAACGGCTCTGGATGTTTGTTTTATTTTCGTGGTTCGGTTTTATATTACATTTGTTGTTTTCTAACTCTTCACCTCTTAATTGAAGGCAGGGTTGTTTGGAGAGGTAGGGAATAATTTAATGGATTTTAAGGCCAGGAGGGACCATTAGATCATTTAGTCTCATCTTTTGTACCACACAGGTATGTTGCAATGCCTGCTCTATCATCTGTGTGCTGGGCTTGCTGTTGATGTGACGAGCAGAAGATCAGGCAGCTAGCAGACATAGGGTTGCAGCTGTTAGGCTTGGGTAGTCGAACAGGTAAGTGGATTTCCTCCCTCCATTTGTTTTTTCTTGAGGATCCATCTAGGAGAAGGATGGGGACTGAGGAGGCAGGAAGTCCCTCTGATTGAGTTGGGAAGAGAGGGATATGGAGGTGACAAAGAGCATGTGAGGCCAGGTGTACAGTGGACCCAATCTTCTACTAGGGAGTATGGGAGCTTACTTTGATCTTTAGGCTCCTTCCTACCCAGCAGCAAAAGCCAGTACCAGCACCTCCCCACACCCACTCTTCTATTCATCTGTGTAGAGAAGAACAAGAATGGATGAGGTAAGAGATGCTGTTGTAGCTGCCACTGCTCCAGGAAGGAACTATCTCCTGCGTCTGCTGCTTGTGGCAGGGTCTGGCAGATCAAAGGTGCCTTGCCCACTCCGTAGCAGGAATATGATTCTCTTGTACACTGGACCTGAATTTTGGAGCTGTCTGCAACTAGCCTCCTGCTTCTAGTCTGTCATAATTGGTGCCCCTCCACCACTCCGGTTCCTTTTCTGGGTCCTGAGAAGAAGGAAGTTGAGGAAGGATATTCACTTAGCTGTTGCAGTGTCTCGGTCTAGTAACTGCAGTCTTTTCTGCTCAGTTCCACCTATATTCTTAATCACAGCACTAAGAGTTAACCCTTTCCTAGCCCTTGCCTTTAAGCAGGAAATAAAGGCACAGGCTGGAAAGTAGAATGAAGACATTCAATTACATAATTAAACTGAAAAATACATGGTTTAAAAAAAAAGAGTTTAATAAAATAAAGAGCGTTACAAAAATGAAAAGTGATAGACTAAAACTATAATCTTTATTTTGAAAGACTACTTCGAGGAGATGTTTCTACCCTAGGGGCTGGTCTTCACTACTGGGAGATCGATGCAGCAGAGGTCAATTTAGCGGGTCTAGTGAAGACGGCAGAGCACTTTCCGGTCGACCCCGGTACTCCAACTCTCTGAGAAGAGTAAGGGAAGTCGACCAGAGAGCGTCTCCTGTCGACGCACTGCAGTGAAGACACCACGGTAAGTCGACCTAAGCTACGTCAACTCCAGCTATGTTATTCACGTAGCTGGAGTAGCGTAACTTAGGTCAACTTACCCCAGTAGTGAAGACAAGCCCTAAGTGTCAAATATCTGCTTTCTGTTGGGGATGATGCCAAAACAGTCAGAGATATACAAGTCTGGCTATTACCATCAAGTATTCTTTCTGTCACTCCCTTCCCTTGTTTCCTTCTCTTCGATAAGAGAATACCTGATTTTATTTTCAGTGGATCCTGGGCTCTTAGCAGTTCTGAGCAAAAAATGCCAAATACACCAGCATACACAGCACAGTTTAATGTGGTTGGCGTTTTCCAATCTAATTCCCCCATCTAATTATGTTCTCTAGTTTTATTCATTTACAGCATTGTTTTCCCCAGTAATATTATTTAGCACTTCTACATAGGGTGTCTTCTCTCTAGATCTCTTTTCAAACAATAACTAAGTAGTCCCCTTCACATTTTAGTGTCAGTTGATGTTGAAAAGGCTTATAAAGTTTATGTCTTAGCACAATAAAAATCATCTGTTCATACCTGTTGGAAACTGGGGTGGGTACAACTGAGGAAGTCCTTTCTACAGATGATGTAGTAACAAATCCATTCTCACTGCTGTTTTGGAAATGTGAAAATGTCTAGCATTTCAGTTAAATAAAGTGGTTTATTTATCATCTGCGCCTCTTTGTGAACTGTAAAAAAATATCTTTACCCTAAATGTCAAAAATGAAACCTGTTAGGGATAAAATTAAAAGACTCTGAGAAATACAACTCTGGTTATTACCATCAAGTATTCTTTCTATCACTTCCACCCTTTGTTTCATTTTCTGTTGCCTCCCTTCCTGTAATGCAGGTTCCTGTGCTTTGGAGTTAATGAAGACACCCGCTGGTGATTACTGTACTTGGCACTTATCCCAAACATTTAGTCAGTGTCTTGTCTATCACTGTCAAACTCGGTTCCAAAGTAACATCTCCTATTAGCATCGGAAGTAGATTGTGGGATTTCTGCTCTTATGTCTCTTAGGGAGTTTTGAAAATCCCACCTGGAGTGACTTGTATAATTCATTATCTTTGTGTATTAAAAAAAAAAAGTAAACATTGTAATTAATTTTGTTCCACAACTGTATCTCCATTATCCCTTTTCTGCTGCAGTGGGAAAGTGTAGACCAGTTCTGATCCTTGGATACTATGACACCAATGATCTGAGGACAAGTTTAACATTAGTAAGTTATTGCCCATTCCTAAAGTTGTAGGCCTTAGAACTTGCTGTGAATGCAGGGCATGCACAAATAATTAGGATTATGACTAGAGGCTTTGGGACTCAAACTATAGCACCTCAGATGCTGCAGATTGTGTATAAAAAAAAACAATAATTGTGGCCACAGTTATCTATGTCATTTTTCATATAGAGCTTACGGGTTTGAAGAAAGCAAAAGGATTCCACAAAGGAACCAAAAATTCTGTCAGGCTCCAAGACTGTTATTCAGTTTCCTCCCTGGCAACATAGTTAGAATTTATATAACAACTTCTATTGAAATAATAATTTTGGAGCACTGTCTGACAAAGAAGTGGTACTCATATTTTTCCTTGACTTGCTATGATTTCTGCTTGGTAATTTACAGATCAGCTTCTCCCAGGCATGGCTTCACCATTATGAACAGGCTGAGCATGGAAAATCGAACAGAACCCATCACTAAAGACCTAGATTTCCAGCTGCAGGACCCTTTTCTGCTTTACAGAAATGCCAGATGTGAGTCTCTCTCTTCTATCCATTGGGTAAAGTGTTTGAGAAATAAACTCTTTAAAGCATTCCAATGACTGCTAGTGCATTTAGTCTATGGCTTTCAAGAGCTGACATTGGCTTGTTCAGGAATTGCAACCCAGAGGGGCAAATTTCGATATTTGACATGCCAAATCAAGGGAGGAGTGGCTCTTTTTTTTTCCAAAGTGCCTCTCTTCTTGAGAAAGTAGGTAAACATTGTTAAGCCATTAATCCGTCTCTTGGCTGACAAATAGTAGACTTTATGTGCTAAAATACAGTATAATATAGATATATGTAGAAATCTTGTCATGCAGTATGTTTTTTTGAGTGTGTCTGAATTGGTATTTGGAAGACTTCCCTTAAGGGGAAGCCACTCAAGATGGGGTGGTATAGCTGATCTCTGATTTCATTGTGTATGCTGGGCAACACTGGAAAAACACTGCCAATTCAAAATGCTGCCTTCTGGTTTGGCTACAGCTCTCTACCCTGTTAGCCAAACTAGTGGGTGTTATTGACTGTTGCTCTCAGGAAGGAAGGCAGGTTTGTCCATCCGTTTTTGGTTGACTGGCTCATTCCAGGCTAGGATCTGCAGGCATTAGCAGTATATAAGGTTCAGTCTTTCCTGGGGTTATTGGAGCCATCTGACTGTCACAAACAAGGGCCAAGAGCTTCCTGAAGCTCTCAGGAGCTAGTTTGCCCAAGAGGCCATTTCAGTGTGTAATTAGGCAAAGCTTGCCTGCAAGAGCCAGTGGTTCAGAAAATGAAGGGTTATGTCTCTGCACTCATGCAGGAGATCTGTACCATGGCACAGGCTTGTCTTCAGGTCCTAAACTTTAAAACAGTTTGTATGGAGTCCTCTGAACCTGCCTTTGTGTGCATCTGAAATCTAGAAGTGTTCCAGTTGGATGTGATAGAACCAGAAGATATGTCATAGTATCTCACCTGCAGCACACTGGGTTATATTCATCAGAGAGACTATCTATTCCCAAATATAATTTGAAGCAGGAAAATGCAGCAAGAGGGAGTTCAGTGGCTCTGAATCACTGTGTGGTAGAAATGATTGTGGAAAAGTGAGAACATCATGAACTGTCAATAAATCCTCTACCTTTTGAAAGTATCTGAAAAGCTGAAAAAGAGGTGAGTGGTGGTACTTGAAATTTCCCAGGGAAACTGAAAGTAAATCCAGAGAACATCACCAGGCTGCCCCATGCCTCTACTTGTAGCCATTTAGTAAGATTTTAGAACAGTAAGTAAGGTAGGGACTAGTTATCACTCCAGTTGGTGGATTTTTAAGCTTCTTACCTATATACATGCAAAGTATTTCCCTTATGTTATGTGTATATATCATTGTAAAAATTCCCAGTGGTTTTTGTGTGTGTGTGTGTGTATGCTTAAAACTTACATTTTGATCTTAGATTTAAGAAATGAGAATAAGATCTTGTCATTTGTACTAACCTTTGTCTCTTTTCAATGGTCAGAAACAATAATTAATGATAGTGAGAAAGAGTCTATTATAACGGTGTAAAACACACTAACATAGAGGGAACAAGAAGACATCCCTGAACACTGTGTTATAGACAAAATGAGCATTATTTGATGGTAGCATAATTCATTAAATTTTCTTCTCAAAATGTAAACTATATATTCCCTGCAAGACATGCCAGAATTTTAGAACTTCAAGATCATAATAGCACCAACTCCTTACAGTTGGTCAGTGCTCAAGCTATTTGTCTCTATTTCTAGATCTGAAGTAAGTCTACCTTCTATATCCCCCTGCCTAGCTCATAGGTCTGTCTGGTTGGGATTCCTGTGTTGGCCACAAGGCAGCTCAGGGCTGCTGATGTTTGTAGTGGATTTTTTGTTGATTTTTTTGTTGGTTTGTTTTCATGAAAAAACAGACAGTGAAAAGTACAAAGAAGTAAATGACTTGACTTGTATATGTTTCCAAATACCACACATTTCATGAGGTCTCCAGTAGAATTATGGAATTATGCAGTTTTACAACTTCTCAAAGCAGCGAGACCATCCAGTACAAATCCAGACAATACTATATACATATAACATATTATGTTGGGGGTAACAGTAATAAAATAGGAGAAGACATAAATGAATAGGGAAAGGAGGGGACTGGGGTGGGAGGAGGGGAAAAAGAGGAGGGATTAGGTGGAATGAAGGTTTAGCATTCTATGACTATTAGAAAAACACCTTACCAATTAACCTCCAGAAAATAAGAGCAGTCTGCAGTGCTTTCCTGCATTTCAGTGCAGCCTGAAGGGCAATGCACTGAATGCAGACAAAAAGTGTTCCTATAATCGCTTGTCATGTACTGGAGAGTGCAGGAAAAGAGACATAGCAGCAGACTCTCGCAGACCCATATGTGGTTAGAAAGAAACCTTATCTCCTTCTCAGCTATATACACATAGATGGGGAACTAGACTGCAGGATAGACAGGATGAGTCACAACCAGAATCATCTGGAGAATGACAGCTGTTGGGAAGCATAGTATTATAGTTACTTATTTATATTATCTTATTTATAGTACTGTAGCACCTAGAGGCTCCATTGTACTAGTAGTTGTACAGGTGTATAGTAGGAAACAGTACCTGACATAAAGAGTTTACAATCTAAATTTAAAGATCAGATGCAACAATTATATTTAACAAACATGTTGAGAGGATGGGAGAGAGAGAGGACAGGGAAGCAGTGACACAAACATGTTTTTGCATAAATTAGCTGTGCTCATGAATTGGCAATATATGGTTATCCAGAGAATATGAAGATCCCAAAATTCTTCTTTCCAATTAGGGATCCCTTAGCCATGAGAGCCAATACCTTCTTGCAAGCATAGCACTTCGTCTTAGCTTATGCCTTCTCTCTGGTGAGGGTAAGATAGAGAAAGCACCAAGATCCTCATCCACTATACTTCTGGTATTGTAAAAGTTCCTTCCACCTTTCCATACTATCTTGGGGGTACTTTGGGATCTTAGCCAACTTCTTGGGGACCAGGATGCATGTTGAACTCACTGATCCTTCAGATTTGTGCACTTCCTCCATTTCAGAGTTATCTGGTTAACATTCCCTCATAAACTTGTATATCAGAGACAAGACATTGATAGAGAAACTCTCAGCTTCTACAAAAAGAAGAACAGGAGTACTTGTGGCACCTTAGAGACTAACAAATTTATTAGAGCATAAGCTTTCGTGGACTACAGCCCACTTCTTCGGATGCATAGGCTGTAGTCCATGAAAGCTCTAATAAATTTGGTAGTCTCTAAGGTGCCACAAGTACTCCTGTTCTTCTTTTTGTAGAAGTGGAAGTA